CGCAGCAGCAGCAGCAGCAGAAACTGCGGCTCCAGAGAATCCAGATGGAGAGGGAGCGGATCCGGATGCGCCAGGAGGAGTTACTGCGACAGGTAACGCCAAAGATACTCTTACTCTGTTCAAGAGCTTTTCGTTCAATGCATCATTCTTAACAAGTATGCCTAGTAGCTCTGTTACTGTATGCCAAGACTAACTATGGTTTTACAGAAGGGTAATCAAAAAACTAATATAAACAGATAATTTCTTTTTTTTTCTCAAAACTAGCACTGAACAGAACACAGGATGGCCATCCGTCAGAAGTTACTGACCTGCCATCTTTCTTACCAGTCTTTCTTAATAGTCATGTAAGGGCCAAATTCTGTTCTGTGTCTGTCCATAAGCAACTAGGGCAACACTGATTCATGTGCAGTTTAACTTGGTTTGCACAGGAGACCATGCTCATACTTCATTGAAGATAAAGGAAGAACATATGGAATTGTTCTTGACTCCAGTCTGTACTCTCTTAATTTGCACCCTTTGCCTTTTAGTTCAAATAAAATCACATTCACATCTACATGAACACCTCTGATCTAAAGACTTTTCAGAGTTGGTTATTTGTTGATGTTTTGCTTATTGTTCTATATCTTAAGTTTCAGCTCTATAAAATGACTCATTCTGTACAAAATAGATATGTAATTTCCTTTATACTGCCTTAAGAAAACAAAGTTTTAAGAATTGTGTTTCATCTGTTACAGTCAAGTCCACTAGTGGTGTTGTGTTTGTATGGCATATTAATCAGATTCCTTAATGGAAAAAATAGATAATCCGTTTCTCTCAGAAACAGCATGAAAGAAGTATACTTTATCAAGACACATATTGTTGTTTGTGGCCTTGCAAATGCTGCAGTTACCAGTTCTAAGTACCTTTAAAAACAGCAACTTTCACAAGATTAAGGTGGCAGTCTCTGACACAGGCAGTGCTCTCAAGTCTTTTGTGTGGCTTCTCCTTTCCCATGAGGGGCTCATGACAGAGATGGATGTGAGAAGAGAGTGAGGGTATTTGGTACCAGCTTAGTCATGATTGTCATGCTAACAACATGTTTAGTTATTTTTACTCTCTTTGGCTCTATTCTTTTTTCAAGGTGAGCAAATTAGGCTTCAAAACAGTTGTGCCATTAACACAAGGGAGGGTTTTGCTGCTTTGCTGACTTTGAAACCAATACATTCACAGCACTCTGCAGCTGTGCCATACTCAGCCAAGACTTCCACTTAACTGAGCCCAGTACCACCCTGCCCTTGTAGTGTTTGTTGAAGCTCCACATTGCATAAAGAAGCACACCATCACTTTGTGTTACTGAAGTTTTACAACTGGTGTAACTCTTAGAGAGGAAAGCAAGATGCAAAATCTCTTCTTCCTAACAGAATGTTGTGAACTTCCTTCCAGTAACCTCAGAATCCTGAATCCTGGCAACTGAGGGTGCAATTATCCTCTTGGATCATCAGTGTCCAAGTACAGTTACTCCTGTCCTGACCCTCCCTTGCTGTTTTTGCTTTTCTAGTGTAACCTAAGGGGAAAATGCTGAGTAAGGGTGTATGCTGCAGCTAGCAGCTGTGAGGAGCTGCAGAGCATTTGCGCGAGGGACAGGATTCTTTGGAGGGTCACAAACCTTTCAGCCCAGCAGCAGCTGCTGCTCCCCACAGCCATTCCTGGCCGCAGCTGCTGGGGTGGAGCAGCGTGCCCAGCCTGGAAGGGGTCATAGCTCTGGAAGCTCTGGGCTTAGGGAATTTCTTTCCTTCTTTGTCCTCCTCTTCATGGAGTTGCTAAAACCCTAGAACTCTAGATTGAGTGCATTCCAGAAGGGCAGCATTTCAGAAAACCAGTATGATAGCATCTACTTAAAGGTTTCCTTACTCAGTTTTATCATTCTATAACGAGTTAACGTTCTTTTACACTAATGTGGGTTTGCCAGCTTTCCAAAGGAAAAGAGAGAATCTGCTTGCTACTAAAGAGCTTCTTGGAAATGGAAGTTGGTAGAGGTAATGTCAGTCAGAAATCTCTGAAAGGTCCTGCAGAGAAGGTGCCCCAGCACTTCTCTGTGTGCACCAGGGCCATTATGTGCTGTATTTGTGCATACATTTGAAGAGTACAAATAGTCCCAAAAAGGCAGAACTTCTCAGAGCCTTCTTTCTGGTCCAGGGCTCCTATTGCAGAGATTGTCCACAGAATGTTACAGAGGCTTAGAAGAGGCTGAAGAAGCAGTGGAGCAACATGTAGAGGAACATTTATCATTGTTTTGTCCTCGCAGAATAGACCTTTAGTGGCCTGCTACAACCTGAAGATAAAAATGCCCCTGTGCTCCTGTGCTGTGCTCCTCCCACTGCACAGATGGCCAAGGGTGTGATTTACTGGTGGCACAGGCAATGTCTACATCTCTTGCTTTCCACGCTGAGGACTGGCAGAAGAGGAACTGCATCTACCAACAATGTAAACCCACTGTAAAAATGCTCTCACTCATCTCCCCCAGCTGGAAATGAGAGTTTGGCAACTAAGGGTGGAACTCAGGTCAGTTCTGCCAAGAACAGTTCTAGGAAATTTGACAAGAAATTTCTGTGCTTGTCAGGCATGCAACTAAAAAAGGGTTTACGTTTTCTGAGGCAGTGAATCATTCAACTCACTGTAATGCTGTGAAGCTTTAAAAGGTTTTGAAGATAACCACTCATGAAGCATTTGACATGACTTTTTGATATTAGAATTCTGTGGGTTTTTTTTGTTTATTTCGTTACTTATTTTGAAAGTGTTCTTTGGGTTTATGTGCATCACAGTGCCAAGCAGATCACTAAAGGCACTTGGTCCTTTGTTAGCTGAATGCCAGAGATGGTCTCTGCTGGCCAAGGAGGAGGCATCCTCCTACACTTAGAGACTGGGAGCTCGCTGGTGTGGCCGAGACTGATATTGCTGCTCACAGGCCTGCCATTTTTTGCCAGACTTTCATCCTAGGGTAGAAGATTAACAAATATTCTTCTTAAAGACCTTGTAGTCATGCTTAGAATATAGAACAGGACATAGTAGGGTACCATAAAGCTTTGGGTATTGTGTAGTTGATCCATTTCTCCATTACCATTGCTGTAATAATGTCAAAGGAGCAAAGGAATCTGACATCTGTAGTAGTAGTAAACTTGCAATGTGACTTCTGAACAAATGACCTACAGCTGAAGAGCATATGTCATGTATGGTGGAGCACTCTGTCTGCTTCCACAGCCAAATCTGACTCCAGTGTGCAAGAGTCTGTTCTTCCACATTTTAAAAGTACACATGGAGTTCATATTACAAGCAACAGGCAATATGTTGAAATAAAGACATGGCAGGTGAGCCATTCCCCAAGGGAGAGTCAATCAAGTAGCTCTATAATAAATATGGTGGTTTTTGCAACAAAGAAGAGACAGGAAGTTAGATTATGTAACTGATAGTGGGAGTTTTTCTTTATGGTGCTGCAGGCTTTTCAGCTGACAGATGTTTTGTTTTGGATGGCCTGTCTAAATCTCGTGTGGCTGTAGATGTCATTCTTATATTTTTTTAAAAGTTCTGAAAATATCTGCCTGTAGACAGCTAAAAAAACGACCTTCTCCTTCTAAGAGGTTTGTACATTTTCACAGACTCCAGCTGATTAAATTCTAAGTAGAAATGTCACCATTAAAATTGTCACTTGACAAATTTAATCAAAAACCTAGTGTACATAAGCTATTAAGAATCTTAAGAATGTTTGTTCTTAACACTTGCTAAATACTGACACCATCTAAAGTAAATTGTAATTTATCAATGAATATATTGATAATTTTGTTATAAAGGAAATATTTCTTTTATGGGCACCAATATGTGCTACTTTATTCACAAAGAGACCAGACCATTCCTCCTCAATGAAACAAATAATTGAAAACATAGTAAAACATCATATTCTAGCCTTGAAGACCTGTTAATCCTTTCTGTGCTGGGGAGACTGAATGATTGAGTCAGAGAAGTTTTCTACTAGGATTTAAATTAAATATTTACTTTGTTTGTTTCATTAAAAAAAGTGAGTGGAGTTAATTATGGTAAAAAGAGATATAGCTTTATTATTTTAAGGTCTTAGGATTTTTGTTTGGAACATCCAGTTGGGGTCAGACAACCTCTGTATAGAACTCTGTACCACTAGATGTCATATGTGTTTCACAGAGATAATGCTGGAAGAATTTATCTTTCAGGAAGAGTTGCAAAATAAGTTTCCTTTGGCTCTGGTTGCTTGTTTGTCATCCTGCAGATAATGGACATGAGACAGGTCATTAAGCAAATGCTTGTTATTAGGCAGTGTTCATTCTAAAGATTATTGAATCACAGTCTTGGTTCCAGTGGTTTTCTTGTAACATGTTAAGTACTTTGTGGTAGCTGAATTACAGGCCTGGCTTCCAGACATGGTAGAACTGACAGCTAAATTCTGTGGTGCTTTAAGACACGGTCATGGTTTTCTTCATATCAGAGTAAACAAATGCTCATGGTGACATCACTCAGAATTACTTTCCTTCAGCGTATATGTTATGTGTTAGTTATATGTTGTTACAAGACTACAGTATTTCTGAGTGTTGGAATAACCCCTCCCTGGTATTTGTTTGTCTTTTCAGGAGGCTGCTCTTTGCAGACAACTTCCTATGGACCCAGAAAACATGGTCCCAGTTCAGACAGCTGTGAACACCCCTGCCATGACACAGGACATGAGGGCTATCACAAATAATGGATCAGATCCTTTCTTGAACAGGCAAGTTCATTCTTCTTCATTAGGCAGTTGCTTCTGTTGCCTTCTCTAGGCTGTTACAGGTGTCTCTCTAAAATAATCCCTATATCATCTTCTTTTTTTCTTACTGTAAACAGAGGGGATGGCTGAGTGGCTGGCCTGAAATCTTTTCAGTTTATGCTTCAAGAAGGAATCTTTTAAAAAAAGCAATAAATTTTAACAGGTGGTTTTAATTCTATTGTTAGTGTATGTAGAAGACTAGGTAGAATAGGTGTGTTACCTACGTGTAAATACATGCAACTTTTTAGGCTGTCAGAACTGATTTCAGCTAGAGAGTTATATATGAATGTGTGTATTTCAAAATTTAAGAGTGACCTCGCTTAAATTACTTTGTTGTTTGGGCTGATGTGATGCAAATATTATGTTGGCTGATCAGTGGCCAGCAGTTACAGGATGAGGCTTAATGACTCAGTATCTGTTTCTGTGTTCTCTTCTGACACTGTGCTCAGGAACTGTGTCTGTCAGAGGATCTTTACTGAGTGTTTTTCATGTTTCAATTTGTAGTGGGCCATACCACTCCAGAGAACAGAGTACAGACAGTGGCTTGGGATTAGGATGCTACAGTATACCAACAACACCTGAAGATTTCCTCAGCAACGTAGATGAGATGGATACAGGTAGAATACTCAGATTTAGCGTAAAGTATAATCCATGTATTATGGCTAGTAATGTTTTATGATTGCATGACTGAACGATAATCTGCAGCTTTCCTAATCAAGAGAACATTCTGACATTGTGGGACAAAATGCCTTGAAGGTGCTTAGTGCCCAGAAGGTTCTCAGCTTTAACTTAGATCCAGATTCTGCTCTTTTACCTCAGACTGATATTAAACAGAATAAATAAAACCTGGAAATTGCAAGACTTAATTTCTGTTTTCATACTATTGTCCATGGTAGAGGGACAAAAAAGCTTGTTATGGGTTACATGTACGAATCAATACATTTTCTAACTCTGGGAAATCAGTCCTGATTGTAAGTCTCTTACATTGGCAAAGTTGCATTTGCCTTCAAACAGAATGTATTTAACTAGCTTACATTTTGGTACATATTTATTTTATGTTAGTGTCCATGGTGTTTAAAATACTGAAATAATTTACTAGGAAATCAAGGGTTTTTTCAGAGAGTGAAATTCTCAGCACTTCCTCACCTAAACTTCCTTTTGAAGTCATTAGAAGTACAGTATTATGCAGAGAATGAAAGATTTATCTGTTAAAGTTTTTCATGCTTGTTCTTATTAATTTATGTGGAAAAAACGTGTAATATTACAGATCTAAATTGCTTGAAGCACTTTTTTCAGTTATTTCCTATGGACAGCATTGCCCCTGGTGCAGGGAACAGGATGGAGGTGTACATCAGGCCCCTTTGCTGCTTCACACTTGAAACTGTCGTGCTTCCCAAGTGGCAGAGCAGAGCTGGATGCTTTGAGCACTGCTGGAAAGGACCTTTTGTGCTTTTGAGATCAAAGCAAGGGGGTGAAATGTATTCTTATGGGGATATGTACCCTATACCTAAATGCAGTTTTGAGAGAACATTTGTGTGGAGTAGGAGTGCTCCCGAGTGCTTGTGGGAAAGGGGGAATACATTTTTATGCAGTTCTGTTGTTTTAAATTACTCACAATAAGACTTTGGTACTTCAAAAGTTCTTCTTTCCCTTTCCTAGGAGAAACTCTAGCACAGACAGCAATGAACATAAATGCACAGCAAACACGTTTCCCCGATTTCCTCGACTGCCTTCCAGGGACGAACGTTGATCTTGGGACTCTAGAGTCAGAAGACTTGATCCCGATTCTCAACGACGTGGAGTCAGTGCTTAACAAAAACGAGCCCTTCCTCACCTGGCTGTAATCAGGCAATGCTTGTTGGGCCTACAGTGCAATTCAGATTTCTTTTTCCTCTTGGGGTAGGCGTAGAATATCTGAATGTCCTCAAGAGATACAACATCCTGCCGTATTGACGTTTGTTACATCGTCTGTATGGTCAGTTTAATAGCTGCCTGAATTTGATTGATACTAATTTAAGTATGAAATACATTTATATATATATATAAAAAATACATACATGGATATATATTTCTTGAAAAAACCCCATACCACTTTACACATCTGTGTACTTTTTTACATTTTCAAACCAGGTGGAAATGCTTCACTTTTAGGACAGAAAGTGGCTGATGTTTGTACACATCCCTGACTGCTCTCCTGGGTACTGATTGACATCACAGAGCCTTTGTGAGTCAGAAAAGCTAACTCCTAGCTTGCCTGGTTCAAAAAAAGTGCAAAGGACCAGGACATGAGAGCAGTTTTATTATTATGTTTATGACAATACTATCAGAAGCTTTTTTAAAATCAAATTACTTAAGCCTTAAAAAGCTTTTTTAGTTCTTAGTGACTAACTATACTGTATAGAATACAGTTCAAATATGATTTAATCGAGCATAATAATTCCCATTATATATTTGTGAAGGCACAAACACTACTATAGCAGTTTCTTTTTTTCAGTAAATTACTGTATAGTTTTCAGAAAATAATTACGTCTAGTCTCAATGTACCAGAATTATTTAGCAACATTTTTACACTACAATATTGTTACAAAATAAACCAGGCTGGTACTGACTGTTGCCTTTTAGAAACAAAGAAATGTATTATAAACAAGCATTTTTAAAAAAATTATTAGGTTTTTTAGTTTATTATATTAAGCACTACAGTTTTGTAACTTAACATGTGAACAAGCAATTTTTTATATATATAAAATCTGTGGCAAGTATCTTAAGTGCAAAAATATTCTTTTAAAATCAGTTCTGGCAAATGTGGCACAAATTGTCAATGTCATACATAGGGGGAGATAAACCTTCCTCATACTGTTTTCAGTGATGTTTATAACTGACAATGTAAAAATACATGTAGTTCTATACATGAAAAAGAACCAGGAACTTTATCAGGGCACTGCTAAAGCAGCATTGGGACTCACTTGGTAAAGCTGCTTAGTTTTTATGTCTTTCATTTACCATAACTGGTGCGCAGGACACGAGGCATGTGCTTTGTGGTTTTGCCTGCTATATATCCTACAAAACTTCTTTATCAGAGGTTTGGGACTGAGAAGACATCAAGAGCATTAAGTCTGCAGTTCTCCTGAAATGCAAATGAAGTCCTGAATATTCTTGTTTTGGAATTATCTTATTTATAATTAATGGATATAAGCATTTTGTATTGAAGAATAGGTAATTTTATGAAAGGCATTATAACTTTTCTCTAAGCTTAATCCAGGCTATGTAAAGAGAAGAAGAGATGTAGCACTAAGTGTAAATGTGCGTTTGCCAGGTCTGATAACACTTAGCAAGATATTAGTGATGCATCAGAATATTGACCCTTAAAGGCCTTTTTTCCATCTGGTTGGGTGAAGGTAGGTGAAAAGGTCAGCGATGAAGTGGTGGGAATACAGAGTAGATTTGGAAGATGAATGATGAGGTAATAAATGTAGATCCTTGCTGGGAAGGATGGCTGCAGACAGGGGTGCATAGCAAATAAATCTCAGTGTTCTGTGAAAAACATAAGAGAAGTGTTCAAAAAAGTAAATGACCATGTCTGTGATGAACTTCTAAGTGTACATGGTGTCACAGGAAGGAAAATAAAAAGCACACACACTGAAATTTTGAAAAAAAAGATATTAGGCAAAGACCTACAGTTGTGAGGTTTTATGACATAGTAAAAGGTAGCTTTTTAAAAATGTTCTCATTTTGTTTTTTTTTAACAGAAAAAGAAATGCAACAGCAGAGTTGTGTCTGCACAGAATTTAATCACTGAATGGGCATTGTGTTTCTTTTATTCTTTTGGGGGTTATTAGTTGGGTTTTTCTTTTTTTATTCTTGCTAGTTTTGCTAACTGTTGAGATACCATAAACTTCTTTTCAATAAACGGGGGCCGGGCAGGGCTGACCAATATTACTGTAATTGGTTTTAATCTCTCTCTTTTAAGGATTTCTTCAGGTTGTCAGCCTAAATGAAAAACAGATGGTCCTAAGGCTTTGTTATTTAGTACCATGACTGGTGTTGGTAAAGAATTGGAGGTTTTCTGGCCAGCTTTGAAGGCCACGTCACCAGCACCGCTCATTTGGCATAAGGAGCCGACAGCCACAGGTGCTGGAATGACCCACAGCAGCTGTGGATCTGCGCTGGTGTGCTCCAGGTGGTAGAGCCTATCCACAGAGAATGCAGTTTGTTCATTTTCTGGCAAATCTGCACCATTTAACATGTAAGCTTGTCATAAGAGAAGATATTCTGAGCAGGTTGGCTAGCAGCTCTGTGCGGTAGCTGGTGCTGATTCCTGCCCAGCCACATGCATTGTTGTCAGCCAAAGGCTGTTCTGTCTATGGGGAAAACTAATGCAGCTTTCTAGTGAAATCACACCAGGTGTTTATCATAACTGTGAAGCTGCAAGCTTGATTCCTTTTTTATTTGTGTTTCTGGTGGTTGAGTGTCTTGGTGCAGTCCCTTAAAAGGATAAAGCAATCATAAACTCTGTTTCTGTGTCACTTCCATAGTAAACCAGCCGTAGATCTGGAACAGGAAGGTACTGAGTGGAGCAGCACTTCAGGCTGAAAGAGCTGCCAGAATCTTAGGTTAGATCTTTACTCAGTCATGAAACAAATCTTGGTTAAATTAAAAGTGATTCTTTACACTCTCAGCTTTTAATTTTTGTTACGGAGATAATGTATCCAATGAAGTGCAATGACAATAAAATCTATTCTTCACAGTTATCTTTTAAAAAGTTTCTGGCTTTAAACAGGCTTATGGCAGAATTTTTCAGTATTCAAAGCATATGTAATATGAAAGTAAATTTATTGTTGACAATATTTCACTGTACTATTTCAGGTTTTGAGCATTTACTGTACTAAATTGTACACTGTCTGCTTGTAGTATAAATACAACCAATGTGCCAGCTGGACAATTTTGCTGTGACCATCCCTGAGGGGTCATATGTAAGTCTTGGTGATACAGAAGTAATGGGACATGGTTAATTACAGTTTGTATTCTGGTAATACTGTTAGAATGTAACTTGGGGAGGGATTGGGTTTGACTTTTTGTCAACAAATACTGTTTGGGGGAAAGGAAGGATTTAAATCTCTGTTTTAATTACAGAAAAATGTGGGTGGTTGTCCAAATAAACTTGTTTCCTAATACATACATCCATGTACATGCTAGTTCTTTAACTATTTTATTTACTTTTTTCATTTTTATATGACTTGTGTGAGCATTTATTTTTAATTTTTAGTACCTTGCAATAGATTGTACTAGAGGCAATCAGATCAAACTGTTGTATCCTGTGTTTGATTCTATTTTGGTTTGTTTTTTTTTTAAATTATTCCTTTGATCTTTTACATGAAAAAATACAAATGAACTTAAAAGATTTTGGATGCATATTGTTTTTTTAAAATAATTTCTTTAGGGGAGGGGTGGGTTTGAGGGTTTTAGTATGGGCTTCCAGGGAACTGTAGAACACTGCTTAGAGTAAAGGTGTGGACATACTATTCTGTGAAACAGGCATGCATTTTTAATTAAAATATTCAGTTTTATATTGTATAGTCAGTTATTCATGTATGTATATACATATTCAATATATATATTCAATATACATTTGAATTAAAATATGGGGGCAAAGACCCCACCTGTGTCAGGATAATGGAAGAAGCCAGCCTTCCCAACCTCTGACAGCTGGAATGTCTCCAGAGTTTTATGTTGTTTGCCTTGCAACTGGTTATACTATGAGTAATGTACAATCCATGAAGAGAGAGTTAAAGTTGAACAGGAGACAGGTAATGAACATTCAAGACTGGAATGATGTGAGAAAACATCCCTTGTTTTGGGCTGAGCAACTATTTTTTCAACATGGTGTATGTTACTTTCCTGCTTTAGAGATGAACCTTTTGCAGAGTCTCCAGTTAATGCATCATTCCCTGAAAGATGACCCTGTCCTGTGGTTAATCTATCATTTTTTCTGCAGTCTATTTATTGAAGACAGTCAAAAAAGACTAACTGTATATAGTTCAGCTGTGCAGGGGCTTAACCTTAATTTTGTCCCACTGAAATGCATGGGCTCAAAATCACATGCTCATGCTCCACATGTTGTAATCTGAGTTGCTAGATAACCAATGTGTATCCTTTTATGATAGCTCTCAGCTAAAACAGTGTCATGCAGTGTTGAAGTTGCCATGCTCTCAGCACCGTGTTCACCCAGCAGTGTTAATGGGTGAATAAAGAAGCTTCAGCCAGCATGGGTATTTCTGAGATTTTTACAAAGCATACTAATATTCTTTCTTTTGACTACTATTATTTTTACTTCGGTTTTAGTGTATGTTCATAATTCTACACACTGTAACACAGTGTGGTCTTTTAAGTTGGTCAGGGTTCCTGAGGTCTGTTAACACTTTCAGTTATCCTTGTTTGTGCCTTCTTTCTTACCACCATCTTTCTGTCCCTTCCTAGTGCTGCACTCTCTTTATCTGTGCCTTCTTTTCAATAATTAACACTGGCTTTTTACATAATTCTCTGTTATGAGGTTCTAGGATTAATCCCTCTCCTTCATTTTACTGGATGCTCTGCTGAGTAAAAACACAGAACAATCTCCAGTTACTGAAGAATTGATACTACAGATGTGTCATTTGCTTGAAATTAAGTGCTAAGGGAGAGCCTCAGGTGTTAGTTTAACTGAATAGATTTTGGAATATGATTGTGGTACTCCAAAGTGTGGGTTCAGCTGGGCTGATGATTCTGGCTCATTTACCCTTTTTCAGTACACCTGAAGGCCAAGGTGTGAATGCAGTCTGGATCACAAGTTGGAGTGTGTGTGCCTTGTGTATCAGTTCTATATTAGCTCATATTGGAAAGCCATCACATACCTGGGTGCCTCTTAGAAGCAGTAGCTCATTGATTATGGTTTTAGGTATCATAGCTTGCTGTCTGTTATTTCTTACCCCATCTCCCACAAAATTTTATATGCTCTGCTTATTGATATATCAAAGCTGTACTCAGTGCAGCTACCCAACCCCTTGTTGAACACTGATGAGAAATATTCCTTGTTCCCAAAGGCTTCATAAAAATCAAACAGGGCAAATGTGAGATGAGGTGCAGGACAGCTGCTCACCACAGATGAAAGAATAGATGTGAGATAGTTGCACAGTGTGTTTGTGTTGAAATAAAGGGTGCTCTCAAGTTCCTGGGCAATGCAGTAGAACAGGTGGAATAGAGAGCTGTTTCTGAAGAGGTTTTTTTGTAATTTATCATCTTGTACAACATAATTCTCAGTACCTATATCAAACTTTTTAACATTTCTGCATATTTCTCAACAGCTTCCAGTGCTTTCAAGTACTTCTAGATTCTTCAGATATCTCCTAGTGTAAATACACAGTACATGACATACATTTTCTGAAAGCACCCACCACAGAATCATTATTTTAGAAGGAAAATTTTCAGAGCAGTTATGGCCAATATTGAGAAGCATTGAGACATCCAACCTGGCAAGCTGGTATGTGAAAATTTGTTTCAGAATTTTTAAAAGAAGCTTATTAGTTTATTTGAATCCCTCAAATGTCTCCAATCCCTCCTATCTTCTCCTTGCTTCCTTCGGGAAGTAGCTTTTTCTTTTAAAGTGTTAAAAGTTCTTTCTAAAAGTTATTTTTGCCTTTGAGCGAGCTGTCATTGTCTTTCCTCTCTCTTTCATAGTATTGTGCCAAATACAGCTAAATTGAACTTGTACAAAAAGATTAATAAACAGCATTTGTGCTCATGTGTAGATTGGAAACTTTGGAGATTTACAAGCTACTTAACTGACCTGAATAGAAATAGTAACACAAATTTGTATTTTGCCTGAGAATACCCTCTTTTTAAATGGAAGCTCTTTTACAAAGATAAATATGAATGTGAGAGTTGTATTTCATTTATTTTATTCCATGATGAGAGATTTCAGGAAGGCTGGAAAGGGAGTCAGGGCTTCATAACACTGGTGGGAGGAGGAGCCCTTCATTCTCATCTTAGCCAGAGCCAGTGCATCTGAGGGCTGCTTTCTGGAGTAGCTGCAGAAGGGATTCTCTCAGGATGAGGAGAGTTGTCTGCAATATTCCTATTCATTAGACAGTTCCTTCTCCCTGGAAGAATAAAAACATGGAGGTAATTTCCTGGCTGCTATTGGTGCGACTCTCAAAGGCTTTTATTATTTCCTAATGGCAGCAATGCATGGTTTTGGCAGTATGTTAGAAAACACGATCACAGAGCTGGAGGAAGGGCAGTTTAGTTTTTCTGACTGCCAGCCAGAGGTGTGTATGTAACTCATCAGTACACAGAACAACAAAGGAGAGCCATCAGCTGCTCACCCCACAACATCCGCAGCATTTGCAGTCCCCACAGATGGTTCCAAAGATGCCGTTCACCACCTGAATGCCGCACAGCACTGCCTGGATCCCACTCATCACCAGCAGCAAGGAGAAGAGGGTCAGGTGCCATGGGACAATGTTATCAGGTGATATACACTTTATCCACAATCCGTGGTCACCCAGGTAATCCCTGCATGAGAATAAAACAGTTAGGAAGACCATATTAACTCATAAAGGGGTCTCTCACCACTGAGAGGCTGTCACTGCTGCGACATGGTTCTGCTCACTTCGGTGAATTTCCATTGCCACACTGGTGCTACTTGTCTAGAAATTGACTTCAGCTTAGTTTCTACATAAGTCGAAGCAAGTGATTTGGATAAAACAAGACATCAGAAGGGAGCAATTGGAGACAAGTATGTGTTTGATACAATTGAACCGTTTTTAGTGTTTTGGGAAGAAAAGATCTTAGTCAAGCATGTGCCAAATGGGTTTTGTCTGTCACAGTGTTTTGTCAGGGGCATTTTTGCTGCTTTTACTTGATTACAGCATTTTTTTGTGTATGGGAGTGGGCGGGAGACTGTGATCAGGGCAGGTAATCCATTATCTCAAAGTAGAGTTGAGAACAAGGGAGTACATTGTAATCAAAACAACTGAATTATCAAAACAAATCATGAAATTATACATGTCACCTCTTGTCCACTGAGCTGAAAATAATAGCTTTTGCTGTTCTAGATGCCTCATCTAAAATAAAGGTAATAAATTCCATATTTTTTACCTTCACTTTTTGATTTAATTGTAAACTGCTTAACCACTGGCTAGATTTCAACTGCATCTTCTTAGTGCTGACTTGTGTTTTTATCAAGTGATTTCTGGACTGCAATCAAAACAATGTTTGAAACAGAGCATATTTCCAAAGACTCAGAATGAGACCAAGTGAGTTGGTTTCTGGCCCTCAGTGGCCCATGAACAAATAATCCTCTACCTGTGCACTTCTCATTTTTTTTTTCTTTTCTTTTTTCTTTTTTTTTCTTTTTCTTTTTTTTTTCAGGTAATTTTTTTTTTTTTTGTATATTATGTAAGAAATGCTGCCAGGTCACTCTTGACTGAGGCAGACTACATTAAAGGCTCTGAGGTAATGGAGAGTTTACTGCAGCCCTTGCCATTCTGTTCTGATCACACCTGCTCTCCTCAGTAGCACATTGTGCCCTGTTGTTTGTTGAACTTGTCTTGACTTCAGTCTGAGCAGTGGGATAGCTGGGTTTAAGTGATAAATGTACATGAAAGTGAACATCTTTGAGTTGCAGAGCATGAGGAGCAAGCAGCTTTGAAATGCCATAGCCAAAATAAAATTATACATATATTATATTATATTATATTATGTTATGTTATATTATGTTATGTAATTATTTGAATGCCATTAAACTGCATATAATCGTAGACTCACAGAATGGTTTGGGTTGGAAGGGGTCTGAAAGATCTTCTCATTCTGATCCCCCTGCCAAGGTCAGGGACCCCTTCCACCGTCCTAGGTTGTTCCACACCCTGCCCGACCTGGCCTTAAACACTGCCAGGAATGGGCCATCCACAACTTCTCTGGGCAGCCTGTGCCAGTGCCTCACCACCCTCATAGGGAAGAATTTTTTCCTAATAATTGATCTAAACCTGCTCTTAGTTTAAAGCCATTATCTTGTCCTGTCATTACGTGCTCCTATAAAACGTCCCTCTCCATCTTTCTTGTAGGCTCCCATCAGGTACTGGAAAGCCACAATCACCCTGAAGCTTCTCTTCTCCAGGCAGAAGAAACCAAATTCTCACAGCCT